CGACTGACTCCGAGGAGTATCGTGAAAGTATAGAGGATACAAATGAATACAAAACAGTTGAAAACCTTCTTTAAGGAGGTCCTTTCGCCACACCGCTCGCCTCAAATGTTAAAAAAAAAGTTATTAGATTATGACTAAAATTAATTTTTTTCTAATAGTTGAAGTCCTTATTTATCTAATACAGAACTTTTAACTATACCTTACCTTGCAAATTTTTGAGATTTTTTTTTTTAAATGTGAGTATTTGTTCAGTGCCTCACGAGAAAGTAAGTCCTCAACAACAATTCTCGAATTATACTATTATTTATTGATTAGATGGAGTAGAAAAAAACTAAAAATAAGGTTTTTGAAATATTTAGATTTTGTTTTATACAATAAAATATATACATATAGTAAACCGTGGAACTTATTGAGAAATTAATATTAAAAAAATCACAAAAAATTTTCAAGTAACCTAGTTGAAAATTTTTTGTGATTTTTTAATAATAATTTCTCAATAAATTCCACGGTAACCTATATATTTTATTGTAAAAAACAAAACCTAAATATTTCAAAAACCTTATTTTTAGTTTTTTTCTACTCCATCTAATAAATAAATAATAGTAAAATTAATTATTATTCGAAAATTGTTGTTGAAGTCTTACTTTCTCATAAAACACTGTGCAAACACACACATTTTTAAAAAAAAAATTTCTCAAAAATTTGCACGGTAAGGTATAGTTAAAAGTTCACTATTAGATAAATAAGGACATCTACTATTAGAAAAAAATTAATTTTAGTCATAATCTAATATTTTTTATTTAACATTGGTGGCGGAAGGACCTCCTTAAAGTCCTCGAAAGTTCAAATGACTCAGTCATTAATTTGGATACTACGATAAATGAAGAAATCGGTAAATCGAACGCAGGTTCCTATGAACAACACAACTATAAATGCCAAATAACCTACCCCTGTAAAGAAGAAAACTAATGAAACGTTACCATTACCCTCCAATGTCACTTGAAGACTAATGGACTTTGGAAATAATGACTACAGCCTAAATCCCCCTAACTCGAATATGTCAATACCAGGGAGTGTGAATAACGCCCACTCGGCAGGTCAATTGAGTAGCTTCTCGTTTGGGTATGTACCTACACCCCCATCAACACAAATTACAACACCAATTGCTAACACTATGCTCTTTCGCAAAGAGTGATAGATAGAGACTAAACAGTGACCCTTGTATCAGGATTGACATCAAAACGAGAGACATCCCCAGCAGTAATGTCAAGAATATTATGCATTATGACTCCCACCAGTCGAACATCAGAAGAAGAACTGCAGAGAGGAGCCAAATCCAGAGCAGACAAATACGACAATCTTCCACACTACTCAGTCTGTTCGAGTCTAGAAATGTCGCAGAAAGAGCATTGTACGAACGGTAAACCGAAAATGACGAGGAACAAACCAAAAAAACGTAAAACTAATTAGGAACATTACCACCTTCAACTTTAATTAGGAACAATTTAGTTTTCCAAGAAAGTTCATTTCTAACTTTCAGAAATTGGTAAGGGAGAAGTCTAAACAAACTCTTATCCTTACAAGCAACCAATATAAAGTGTTCATGGATGAAACAAACTGAGACACAGACGATGAAATCGGGAAAATCGTTAAAAAGCGAAAAAAGGAGACAAAATTCAAGCCACTTTACTGGATGATTTACCTCCGGCACCAATCACAAAAATTCTACAGTAATACGTGATTAGAAATAAATCCAATAAACGAGAACTCAGGGGATATATAAACAAAAATAAAAACACTATTCCACCTATCATCTTTGATGATTTTAGCTTGAAACACACGAATTATACCACTATAATATTTGTGAAAAACAAAAAAGATCCTGCAAGTGTAGGTAATATTTAATCAGTAAAAATAGCCTACCATACGTACACTCCAAGAGATGACAAATCTCACGCGTTTATGTTAAGAAGTCTTGCAGAAGGTACTAAAATTAAGGACATCGAAGAGAACTGGAGGAGGAGCACGACATAAAATCAAGGGAAATTTACCAAATGTGGACCAAGGAACGCCCCCTGTTCCTGGTGGTAAGAAATCCAGTTTTGGCACTGGATTACTTGAACAAACACACCAAAAGAGTTTTGAATACCAGCACAGGCCTGTCACTCCCAATACCTCTTCCTTATTGCTTTGAACCAAAAAGAAAAATGATTAGAAAGCTAGGTTATATTAGATTAGATACATTTACCCGCGTAAAATATTTTAAATTTTCAGGGTCACAGACGTTCCGATCGATTGACATTTCAGTGCAATCTCTTGTGTTAACTATACTCTTTGATACCAGGGTATCATGGGAACTTCGAAAATCCACAAAAGTCATATTCCAGTGTCATAACGTCCAATTGCGGTAAGTTCTTCAGATGCATGTAGTGTACGGGTAATCACCACAATCGTACATGTGTAAAGACGCAAAAAACTCCAGCTAAATGTTTCAATTGTGAGGGTGAGCTCCGCAAACTATTTGAAATGCCAAAATTACTTAGAAAAGCTTGAAAAACTAGAAGAGAGACGACCCAAGCAGCAGCACAAACTTGTTCCCGCCTACAGCCGGTGATCAACCAATGGGAGGCCAGGAGACAAAATTTGAGGATCAATGACGAATTCCCAGCGTTAATATCCAGAATCATCAAGAACTATACTACTCAAGAGCATCCAAGAGCAGAAAGACCAAGGCAAACAACCCCAGGCATGGCCATGACTGACATCTCAGCCCGTAACAATGAATTCGAGGGAATTGGATAAACTAATCAATATCGGTATGCGAACTAGAGCGGTAAGAGCCTTGAACGCAAAACTTATAAACTTAAAAAAACAGTTTTTGAGACTTACAATGCGTTCATGGAACAAATAAACATAAACTTTAATTTATGGAATTAGATTATTACATACAACACAGTAAATTTAGTAGTTTTTGTTAAAGACATTGTAACATGCTTGTACAGGCATTAATGTTGATTGCAGAAGCACTTTTTCTCAGATTTTCTACGATTGTATGGGAAACTGGTGTAAGTAGGAGCATAGATGTTTACACAATGCACACATTACGGACATATGAGACAGAAAACAGGAAAAATCGACGTACATCCTCCTTAGCAACACAGCTAAGGTGGTTTTATCAAAAGCACCTTCTATGTCTATAAAAACACACAAGGCGGACTCCTTATTGTCCAGGGATCTCTCTACCCAGCTAGCAACTAGATGAAGGGATGAATCAGTAGATCTGCCTAAGGTACCGTCAGGTCCTGGCGATTGTGGACATTGCCCATCTAATTTTGTTTGGAATTTTACCAATTATAGACAGATGGGTTGTATTCTTCCTCTGCCCAGTCAGCCTTCTGTGATGACCGAGTCAGGGAAGTGTGCTGACAGTAGAAGTTTGATGTTATCTTTGAGGTTAATGGTTCACATAAAGTAGTAACAAATTGTGCAGAAGAAGGCCTTGTTTATCAAGACGATAAATACAAACTTTTGAAAAACTTAGTACACATACCGGGTGTTCGCGCGAAAACTAAATGGAATTATATCGGGTGTTTTAAAAGATATCGACTTGAAATTTTGTAATGTCATTAAGGAAATATGATGGAAATTAATAGTATATCGCCGGTGTCGTTCTAATACCTCGTAAGCCCAAAAGTAACATTTTACAGGAGAAGCCAAAAACCGTTCTGTTTATTTATTACTATTATTATACGAGGTATTAGAAAAGTTTAATTTTTAAAGTTTTAAAAATGTTGTGGGCTACGAGGTTTGTGTAATGGTAAATATGGGTAACCGCAACAATTTGACGTAAAAATCTCATTTTTGTCAAAATGAGGGTTACGAGGTATTAGAACGACACCGACGATACGAGACACCACCCCAACGTGATATTCACCGCTTCCAGCCATCCCTGGTCCAAAAAATTAAATGACACTGTATTTTTTGACATATTCTAAAAGAATAGTTTCTTAGTATCTTTATATGAAAAAATTACGTTTTATGTGTTACTGATTTAGAGATTTTTATTTTCGCTTAATTATTTTTTGTATAGTTTACAGAGAAACTTTAAAAATACAGGGTGTTGCACAAAAAACTGCTTTCCTATTTTTTTAAAGGTTTTGCAATCGATTTAACACATAGAATGACAGGTAGTACATTAATTTAATGTAATACAAAAAATTCAAAACACATTGTTTATACTGGGTGACTCGTTAAAGTTAAAAAATAATATACGCCCTCTGTAACTATAATTATTATCCGCTCTGTATAAAATATAAATGCATCGTCAATAATAAATTGCTTTAAATATATTTTCATATTGCATCGATATTTGATCGTATTTTTAACGCAGTTATTAAAAACCATTATTAATTTCCGAACTACCCTGTAGTTAACTAATGTCTACAGTAAATTTTATAAAATAATAATGCCAAATAATAGATAATTCATGTTTCATACAAAAAACTAGAATAAAAGAGGTCTGTTACTAAAAGTGGCATTTCCGGTGTTTAATACGCTGTATCTCGAAAACTAGTCACAGGATCGGTTTGGCCTAATAAAATTTTTTTTGTCAGAACATGAAGTTCTAAAACATCAATATATCAGAAAATTCAAAAATAGGTATAGGTAATAAGAAACAGTTTTTTAAATTGTTACATAAAAATTATAAAAAAAAAAATGTAGAGTAGTTCGACAGTAAATAGTATTGTTTGATTAGCGCTGAAATTTTACATTATCTCTTCGAACTGGTAAAATTAGGGAGTCCCGACATTACCCATCTACTTCCTGTTATTATTTTTATATTAATCCTATTCCATGATTTTTTATAATAAAGCCAAAAATAAATTAAGAAGAGCACGCCTATGTACAACGTCGAGTACAAAACAAAACATTTTAACAAAAAATCAACCTAACCCATTAAAAATTATAATTATCCTCCAACAAAGGAGGAAAATACTCACTTAGAGTTCCTCGCCGGTTGTGATTGACTTCTATTTTTCTGAGATTTCTTATAATTGGGAGCCGACTCATTGTCTTCCTCGGCGACTGCAGTGACATCTGACTCTTTGTGCCTGTTTTTAAACCTTTTGTAACTAACTCCGGTGCCTGAGGGCTTCCTTGCCGATTTTATGGTGTTTTGAGCTGCATCATTCGGTGATACAGGTGCAGCTTCGTTAGAATTACGAGCCGCAGTCGAGTCTATGTGTCTTTGCTTATTTCCTTTAGATAATGAGGGTGAGGCGGTTTTCAATATTCGCAGACTTTGCGTCGGCTGGATTTTTTTTGATGCGCTTTGGAGAACTTGTGCATACTTTCCTAAAAAAAATAATAAGATAGGTATGCATTATAATTTATTAGTAATTAAAATACATGTATCAACTATTTTCAAAATAAATATTGAAAAGATCCGTGCTTTTCTTGACGTTAAAGTTGATGTCATTATCTTTAAGCTTTGTTAATATTTATATTTTGTACATGGACAATAATATAAAATAAACGAATTAATTATTAATCTTTTCATAAATTCTGCCATCTTAACACAAAATTAAACAATGGATCGATCAATTTTGAAATAAAACAATCTCTTATCATCTGTTGTGTTATATTTACCTGAAATATATGTTCCAATAACGCTAGTTTCGATGATAGTGGTAATTCCATCTTTAACGACAGTTCCTGCTAATTTGGTTACCAAACCTGTGGGATGGGCGTCTCCTCTCTTCGTAGCACCATTTTTCTTTAAGTCTGTAGCAGGTCGATGTTTTAAGAGGAATTTTGAACTCGGTTTTAAATTAATAACTTTAAAAGTTTCTTCTACCACTTCAGATGGTTGTCTAGAAAGGAAGTCGTACTCTGGATCTCCTAAAGAAATAAATAAAATGATAATGGCATTTTAAGTATGTACATTACTATATTCTTTATTGATATTGTTAACATCAAAGATATAAAAGTTTAATGTATGCAGATAATCTAAAATTTTTAGTGATGTCTGCAAACTTTTCAGAAAAGGTCTAAACGGTATAGCAATTTTCTGTCAAAATAATTAACTTCCATTGAATCCAGAAAATTATTCGGTTGTCTTTCACCGGGCAACTAATTGCTTTTACTTTTAATTATAAATTGCATAATGTAATTCTTAACAAGTCTATGTTTGTAAGAGATCAACAAGTCTATGTTTGTAAGAGTATATTTTAATTCTGATCTTACTTTTAATAGACATATTGAATCAGTGGTTTCATCTGCCAATAAAACCCTATAGGTTGTCATGAAACGCTGCAATGAATTATCCGGTATATCCACATTAAAAATCTTATATACCAGCTTGATTCGATCGAAACTCGAATCTGCATCTAAGGCATCTGAGTCTATATTGATCTAATGGTCAAATTCACAAATCGAGAGGTATTGACATGACTCAAATCAACAGTAATGAATAGAGTGGAGATTCCATTTGTCCAAGAAGCCCAATACTTGGGTGTCATCTTTGAACACAGGTTAACATGGAATTAACAATTGCAAAAAAGTCACCCAATTAAGAACATCCTTTGACCAAAAATGTCCCTATGGCTGTATACCAGAGTCATAAGGCCTATGATGACCTACGGGTTGGTGGTATAATGGTCAAAGACTCGGTAAACTGGAAGTTATTCGACAACTCAACTGTATTTAAAGACAAGCATGCTTAAGTGCCACGAGAGCCATGAAGCAACTTCAATAGAAACCATAGAAGTCACGCTAAATCTAACATCACTACACATATTCATTCAAAGCGAAGTCAAACCCGTCACATACAGACTGCACAAAAGTCCATCGCCCATATTGAAACTGCATGGACGTTACTACAAGCTATACAAAGAAATGGAGAATGACCAAAAAATGAAAATGTCTTCAGATGAAATGCTCTCAGTATATAGCTTTGGAAAGCAATATAAAGTAAGTATAACAGGCAGGAAACCGTGAACGGGAAGATCTGATGTTCACGCAGAAATCGCCTGATATACAGACGACTCCAAAAGACAAGAATCTCACTGATCTTAGGTGAAGATGTGACAATGTTCCAGGCAGAAATAACAGCAATACATCACTTCGCAAAAGAGGTTTGCAGCCATAAGGTAAATGTAAAACCATTATTATATATTTAGAAAGTTAAGTGACGTAAAAATAGTTACACTTAGCTTGTCTGGGACTGTTTGGAAACCATAACAGATCTGGGCAGTCAAAACAGACTTACCTTAGTCTAAGTATTAGGCCACCGAAGACATAAGGGCAATGAAGAGGCTGATGCAATACCTCGAGAAAGAGCCTCAAGGCTCAGAACCCTTCTCTGGTGTCACACAGAGAGCCTTTAAAACATACACAAAGCAGTGTATACTAAAAAAATTCCAGAGATGATGGAACAATTCATCAGGACAGTGGCAGACAAAAGAGCTCTTAAAAAGACCATCGCCCAACCTCTTCGAGCATCAACTAAGCCAGTCATACTCAACCTGCGGCCCTCCAAGCTGTTTTGTGCGACCCTTCAAGCTGTTTTGTGTGGCCCTTTAAGCTACTTTGTGCGGCGTTCCAAGCTGTTTTTTGCGGCACCAAGCACTATTATTAGGAATGACCTAAAGTCCTTTTTTGAAACAAATTGTCCCAAAGCTTAAACATGAGGACCTTTTTTTTTAGAAAATAATATGTAAACTAAAACAACATGGGGACTTTTTTTTTAAATATTTGTGGATCCCTATCATCACGAAGGTGGCCCGTGTAGCATAACAAACATATTTATGTGGCCTGAAAGAACAAAAGGTTGAGTACAGCTGAACTAAGCCATATTAGGTAAAATACTAAAGTACTAGTAGGCCCATTAACATACGTATAAAATCGTTCTGCCAGAAGAGACCTCGGGCTGATTCTATCAGGAAGAGGAGGAAAATAAATTAAACAAATTGTCACTGAAATTCCTTTTACTTGGAAAATAAAAACCAAGGACAACTAGTTCCACCAGAAAGCTAATTTTTAGTCTATGGAGTCTACTACAAAAACCAAACTAGACAAAAAACTCTAAATAACGATTAAAGGGTGTCCACAATAGATCTGAAAAAGTCGAGGTGGAGGAGGCCACATGTCCCACAATGATAGTGGAACAAGTTTTACATGTCCTATTCCGATATATTAATTTAGAATATGTTACATTACATCACTTCTGTTACGTTATATGATATATGTACCCTTAATTGTTGCCAGTGTTAAAAAAACATCATGAAAAGTGTAGTGGTACCTGCTGTTATGCCCATGGACAGTAATAAGTCCGCGACAAGTGCGATTACGTCAGCGTATGAGAGCAGAGTGCATTCGGATTGGTTATTTTGGTCACTTCTCACTTCGCTTGTGGCCGTCTGGCAGACCACTGCACCCTGTACAGTTTTACGTATTGTTTACATGTATTTTTCTATATTTTTTTTAATAAAAAATACGTGTGGCACTCGGGGACTGCCTCGGTAAAGCTATTGCATAGCATTTTTTATCAACTTATGCAATTATAATTATTTATTTATTTTATTTATGCAGTTTTTTTTCTTTAATATTAATTCAAGTTTTTTCTTTGATATTAATTCAAGTTACACTTTTTGAGCGTGGTGACCGATAAGAAAACAAATTTTTTCTTTTATTGAATAATAATATTGTTTAAAATATTTTTATTATCTTACAATACATGTAGGTTATTCAGGAATTTTTATCATTGAAACTATAGGTTTGAGATAACTGAAATAATAAACATAAGTTTGAGACTTGATATCCTCTAAATATCTGGAAAATACCGCGTTAATGGTGGTCCCATATTTTGTAGTGGATTTTTGTGGATCATTATTCATTTTCAAATTCAATTTTTCCGAAAAAAAAGTTGTCAACCGCTCTGATTTTTTATCAGCAAAGTTGATGTTGAAATCGCCAGATAAGATAAGTGGAAATGTATTACCATTTGTACCAAGTATTTTCGACCCTTCTTCAGTGTACTCCAGTAAAGTGCGATTAATAAAATGCTCTACCTCGTCCAATTTTGGATTGGGAGAAATGTAAATTGCTACCATGACTATGTGTAGGCCGTTTCTAAGTTTGAATAAGCACGCACAAATATCTCCAACAAATGAGCGCCTAACATTAACATCGCTAACGTGTGCAATATACTGACGACGTTAGACGATGCACGGCTTTCAACTCCGCACCGCTGTGCCGGTTGGAGTGGGGGTGTTAGGCTTATTTTCGTTACGGAATTTCTTGATTCGGTCGCCGCGCTCAAAGCCCGCGATAAAAGCTATGCAATAGCTTAAAAGTTGTGTTATCTCATCGAGAAAAATATTATTTATTCCTGAACCTACCGACTGAGCAAACCAAAGCAAAAGGAATCTTAAAACCCTCCGACCTCCGACAGTGTTATTGGTTTTATTTTTATGGGTTGGTGAAATTCGGCTTAGAATTTTAACTAACAAGTTAATGGTACTATCTTTGTTTAAAAAGACAAAGGAAAAGATGTATTAATGCTCATGGGCGCCATGTATTTGGATGTTTAATAAATACAAACTATGCCATTAGCTTGCCAGCCGAAAGTAAGGAAAATTAAAATAATGAAATTAAAAATAATGAACTTTTAATGTATATAATGGAAGATGAATTTGTCTCTAGTTGATTATCACAATTAATAATTTGAAAGCTTTTACATTATCAAAAAAGTTAAATTAGAAAGTGACTTAATGGACAGATATATAAATTTACAATGAAACGAGACTCAATATATATAGGGTGTTCCATCTCAGACGAGCCACCCTGTATATTTCTTATCCCATAGTAATTGGAAAAATTTCCCGAAACATGTCGGATGATTTTTTTGGCATATATTTGAGGCTTGAACGAGCAACCCCCTATAATATGGCGCTTCAACCCCTCAAAATTGAATAGGGAAGAGGGGTTAAGTCATACTTCATTTGTAAGGTCTTGGAAGCCTCTTTACAACATTGACTTCTATAAAATAATACAATCTTGACTGAAAACCGTCTCTAACATGGTCCCGCATAATTGGAGTTATTTGACGACATTCATTTACAATTCGCTGGCGTAGTTCGTCCAAATTTTCAGGCTGAGTCACAAACATCTTGGACTTAAGATGTCCCCACAAGAAGAAGTTCGGAGGGTTCAGGTCAGGAGAGCGAGCAGGCCACTCCATAGGACCTCTTCTTCCAATCCAACGAGCAGGGTATTGTAAATTGAGGTATTGGCGAACTGGTGCGGCGTAGTGACGAGGTGCTCCGTCTTGTTGGAAATGCAATTGATGTTCAATTAGAAGAGGATCGTTTTCTAATTTCTCTGTTATTAACGGATCAATTGCATTTTCCAGCATTTCAAGATAAATTTCGCCATTTAAATTACCAGGAATAAACAGAGGTCCAATTAGGTGGTCTTCCAAAATTCCTACCCAAACATTTAGCTTTTCCGGATATTGAGTGTGAGCTTCTTGAAATACATGAGGATTTGTATCGCTTTAAATTCTACAGTTATGCCGGTTAACCTCTCCATTAAGTGAAAAAGTGCATAATTTCGCAAAACTTTTGCCTTCGATCCAAATCATCATCATTTAATTCATGAATTAATTTAATTTTGTACGGATGGAACTTGTGTTTATGTAAAATTCTAAAAACGTTAGATTGGCCAATACCGGAAACTGCAGAAAGTTGTCGGACAAATTGCGTGTTTGGCATAAGTTGTACATGGGCCAATACCGCCACAGCTGCTCCTTCATCATTCACAATTCCAATGGGTGCCCTTTTTTTATCCATTACTGAACCCGTCTCAACAAATTTTGAAATCAATTCCATTACGTACTTATGGCGAACGCTACGTTCAGGATGGTTTCGGTTCAATATCCTTGCAGCCGCTCGGGCACCATTTTGATTTTGGTAATACAGGCTAACCAGCTCAACACATCCTTGCAATGTGTACACCATAATTTATTTTTAAAATTGTAAGCAAATCAGCAAAGTAGTAACTCAACATACTAATTTTAAATACATGATAAACACTTTCTAAGTACAAAAAATGAAGGCAAGATAAGAAAATGTTTTGATTTTTTTCTTTTTAATTTATTAGTTCAAGAGAATTTATTATTGTATGGAAGTCAATGGAGGACAATTTGAACATTTGATTTAAGAACGCAGTTCTGATTTTTTTGATTGTAAGCATGATAAAACAATTAATTTTTTTTAAGAATGTGATTTTTTTCATACACCGTTGGAAAGAGGCTTCCAAGACCTTACAAATAAAGTATCACTCAACCCCTCTTCCCTATTCAATTTTGAGGGATTAAAGCGCCCTCTCATAGGGGGTTGCTCGTTTAAGCCTTAAATATACGTCAAAAGATGTCCCCCGAAGAAAATCATTTGACTTGTTTCTGGAAATTTTTCCAATTACTATGGGATAAGAAATATACGGGGTAGCTCGTCTGAGATGGAACACCCTGTATAGGTAAAAATGCTCAGGTGTCAGGCGACACTTATCTGATCTATTGCTCTTTATTTAGTGCTCTTTTTTAGTCAATGAATACACAACCAAACACAAGAAAATCTCAAAATGGAAGACACAGCTGACCCTTTTAAACTATATTAAATACACGATTGCGTCCCACGATTGCGCAAAAGCGAAAGTATTGTTATACAGGTTTTTGGTATCTCAATTTATTTCAACTCAACTTTTACAATAACTCAATTCAACTGATACAATAACTCCAACTAATAACATTAACATGTAACGTCTATCATAAAACTGAAACTCTGACGTCAGGTCGTCGACTTATATAGCTTGCTTGACCTTCTCCAACCTTCTCGAACTGTCATCTAGAATATTCTTGACGGGTAATGACATTTCTGGAATCTTCTTTCACTTGTACTTTTACGTATGACGACCGCAGCACACTGTAGAGCGATGAGTGACATTCCACTTCTTTTTTTATCTGTACGTTTCCTATGATAGCCGCAGGCTACTGCAGGGTGCTGCGTAACAGTATTGATTAAAAATTCCAAAGAGAGTACGTGAAAATATAAAGCTAATACAAATGAAATTGTGGAATGTTTTATACCAGGTTGGCATAGAAAGTATTGTTGAATGTTTAATATTTTCGAATCGCGGAATAGGAATGTGTAACATGAACTTATTGTGTGTTGCCTATGTTCAGCGTCTATATTCCCTGCGCTCACAACTGTGGACTGATCGGCCCACAAGGAAGTGATGACGGCGTGGTTGGTTAAAATAAAAAGAAGAAGATGTTAATTAATACTTCTTGACTTTAATTTTTCTTGCATTTCATTATCTTTTCAATTTTATTCGTTAAATTTAAATCATTTTATTTTGTTCGTTCGGTACTAAAATTCTGTTTGTTTTCAAAATAAATGTTCTAGTAGCTTAAACGGCATATCTTTTTAAAGAACCCTCAAGGGAACAAAATCTGTTTCCCTCAAACGTTAATACTATTTGAGAGAAGCGTTCTTTTTAAATGTTCTTTCTAAACACAAAAAACGGTGTTTTTGCTGCAACAAATGAATCTCCTAATTTCTTATAAGCTTGAGATTGCATGAGGGGTAAAATCTTCAATAAGAAGTAAAAAGGTAGTGTCATGAAAAATAGTTTCAGCAAGTTCATCTTGTTCTTTATCGCAAGAGGAAGAGAAAATTTTCGTTTCGCTTAGCCGAAATTAGTTACGTAAAAATTGTTTCCATGGCAACCGTTGCCATGGTAACCAGTAAACAAAAACCCAGATCTCGTGGTGAGGAAATGCATAGTTGCCAAGTTATATAGATCATTTAATGTTTACTTTAGTTTAGACGAAATCAGTTATAGTAAAACTGTTGCCATGGGGACGCTTGACATAGTAACGACTAAACAAAAAACCAAATCCCGTAGTGACGAAATGCATGGTTGTCAAGTTACAGGTGATTTAATTTACTGTAATCACTTACGGAGAAACTGTTGCCATAGAAGCACTTGTCATGGTAACGACTAAACAAAACCCGTGGTAAGGAAATGCATAGTTGGCAATTACAGATTATTTAATTTTCACTTGAATTTAGCTAAAATCGGTTACGGAGAACTCGTTGCCAAATGAACACTTGTCGTGATGTCGACTAAATAAAAACCTAAATCCGGTGGTGAGAAAATGCGCAGTCGCCTCTTATATTTATTTTAACTCTTAACATATATCTTAATCTAAACTTAAGTGAAAATGAAACCATCTATGACTTGGCAACTAAGCATTTTCTCACTAAGGGATTTGTTTAGTCGTTAGCATGACAAGCGTTTCCATGGCAACAGTTTCTCCATAAGATCACGCTACGCCCCTCCCATCCACCTCCTAACAAGAGCGAGCGGAGCGAGCGCGCCCGGCCGACGTTTCGAAATTCGTGCGCCCGAATTTCAAAACGTCGGCCAAGCGAGCCCTTTTTCCACCTATGTCATAAGATCACGCTACGCTCGTTTCACCCACCTACTAATCACTAATTGGCAACTACGCATTTCCTCACTGCTGGATTTGGGTTTTTGTTTGGTCGTTAGCATGACAAGCGTTCCCATGGCAACAATTTCTTCATAACTGATTTTGACTAAACTAAAATGAACATTAAATGAACTAAAACTTGGCAACTACGCATTTCCTCACTACGAGATTTGGGTTTTTGTTTAGTCGTTGACATGCCAAGCGTTTCCATGGCAACAGTTTTTCCATAACTTATTTCGGCAAAGTAAATATTAAATGATATATAACTTGGCAACTACGCATTTCCTCTCTATGAGATTTGGGTATTTGTTTAGTCGTTGACATGACAAGTGTTTCCATGGCAACAGTTTCTCCATAACTGATTTCGGCTAAACTAAAGTGAACATTAAATGATCTATAACTTGGCAACTATGCATTTTCCCACCACGAGATTTAGTGTTTTGTTTAGTCGGTAACATGATAAGCGTGCTCATGGCAACATTTTTTGCATAAGTGATTTCAGTTAAATGAAATTAAACAAAAACCGCAATCATCTACAACTTGGCAACTGCGCATTTCCTCACCATCAGATTAGGGATTTTGTTTACTTATCGCCATCACAACAGTTTTTGCAGAACAGATCTCGTCTAAACGAAAGTTGAGCCTTTTCCTGTTCTAAAAATCTTTCTAAGTGAAGATTTTCTTCTTTACAGAAATTGGCAATTGAAGGGAATAAACAGTGGGAGATTTTGAAATGGGATACTAACAAGATACTTCTCCAGATAGTATCCATTTTATTTGAGTTTGAATTAGTGTAGAATACCCTTCGCCTAAAGAATAAAGAATAACTTGAAGCAAGTCATTATATATATATTAGCTACTAAAAGTATGTCAAGCTCAGATAGTAGAATAGTAGATTAAATGTTTTATGCTTTCTTTTTTGGTGGTTTTTGGTGGTTTTTGGTGAGATTTTTACAAAATATCGCTGTCACAATAAAAGATGTAAATCGTTATGACAGTTGCGAAGTTATACAGGTTGGTGTATCATTTTCTTATCAAAAAATTAATTTTTAACAGTAGCGCTCAGCTATTTAAGTGTTAAATTAGTATTTTGATGGTCATAACATTTTTAATTTTCATGTATTTTTAACCCATATATTGTCACTTCTACTTTTTAACTTGTTAATCAAAACTTATGTTTCACAACAACCATACATCAACATACGTTTTTACAGGCCTGATGATGGTCACTGACCGAAACTAGTTGCTTCATCCCCTTTTATAATAAAATTATTTTTGTGGCCAATACTTTTTTTTCCTTTATAACGAATAACCCTGTATATATACTAACTCCTCCTTTATCTGTAAATTAACTTACCTATATTATTTCCAATAATTGCCGCTGGCTCGTTATCCGATTTAACATGTACGATACTAGAAACGATGCTGGATTCTGGCTCTTTACGGGATTCCACTTTGCTGGCAATTATTGGTTCCACTAACTTCGTTGAACCGCTAACAATTTCGACTTTCGTCGAAATACTTGCAGTTGCAACTACAGTTTTGCTTGACGTAGTTCCGCCAACAACCTGTAACACATTTTCGGAATTATACCACGTACAGAAATGTTTTCAGTTTTGTGCAATCGGATTGTACATAATTTCTGAAATATGGTTAGTCATTTTATGTTACATGTAGAGAAATTAGTGTTTTATTGCCTGTTAAAGTTTGAAATTCAGATGAATTCCTAAATACAAGCTCTGGACGTGTCCTTTTTTTGAGAAAATGTTTTTTTTTAATAACCTCACAAATAATAGAAGAGTTGGACGAGTTGATGTCTTATCTCTACCAATTCTGAAAATATTATTTATTTCAAATGCAGTTCCACTTCTAACACTTCAATATATTTTTTTTTTGTTAGAGTATTGTTACTAGTCATTACTGAATAACCTACAATTTTAATATAAAAATCTTAAAAACTAATTACTTATCTAAGAAGTCCCCATTGGACTGTCTTAATTGTTTCTATAGGAAAGCATTACAAGTTTGCGTGACGATTTATTGCACTGTTTTACACTAGCACTAACATTAACGTTCACTGCACTAGCTCAAATGGCTTCTTCCTTTTGAGCCTTCTGTTGAGTGTAGAGTTGTCCAGTAATTGCAACGCTTCTTCATTGACGTGGGAGTGGAGTCGACCCTCATGTTTCGCAGCAAACCTCTTTATTTCTTCTTCGATTGTTGGCATCTTCAGGTCTCTAAGAAGATAATCGTTTCGGTAGAACCAAGGTGCATCAACAATGCATCTTGGGACTTTATTTTGGAAAACTTGTATCATGTTGATATTACGCTTGCTGACACATCCCCATAGCTGTATGCCATAAATCCAGATTGGTTTTAGGATTTGTTTATAAATCAGCAGTTTGTTGTGCATTGACAATTTGGATTTTCTTCCTATGAGCCAATACATTTTTTTGAATTTAAGTTCAAGTTCTTTACGCTTTTTTTATGTGCTCTTTCCATTTAAGTCTTACATCTAGGTTCATCCCTAGGTATTTAGCCGAATCGTGATGCGGAATAACGTCATTGTTTATTCTTATTTGTTTTTGGTCGAAGAGTAAAATCAACATGCCCTGATTTAGTTTGATTTATTTTTATTTTCCACTTTTTATCCATCGGTTGTTTCTGTTGCAGGTTTCCTGAAGTTTTTCTGAGGTCTCTGTATTAGTTCCGCCAACTGCCAATATTGCAGTGTCATCCGCAAATGTTGCTATTTTACCAAATTGTTTGTTACGTGAAATTAATTTTTAATCAATTTCAAATTTATTTTTAACAACAACTTCTCCATAACCCCTCGTAACACAATCTATGACTCTGGCCCTAGCATTAATACCATTATCGATTTTTACACAAAGCACCGTTTGCGCGCGAAATCTAGTGGTCACAAAACCGATTCGCTTGGAATCAATCGCTCTTTCTGATGTCTCGAGTTCAATGTGTCGGATGTACCGATAAATGTGCCTACTATGAATAGTTTTCCTTAATTCTTTAATTCTTTAATTTGTGTTTATTAAGTGTGAACGTTGGGATAATTGTCAGGTAAATGTTTTTCTTTTATTCCCATTTTACTGGATTTAGTTGCAAAACCAAAGCTCGGCCATGTGCTTTTTTTTATTACCGCCATGCTGGAAAAAGCCGGTTTCTATATTTTATTTCATTTTATATAGATTATAGCTACCCTAATTAATAATATTTTTTAAGCTATCTTATATCTATTAATATAAATGTGTTATCATTGAATTACTTTGATATATACGCGGGGAGGCAACTAAATAATTGAATTACAAGTCATTTTGGAAATACAGTTTAAACGGAAATTTATGGCTCCTAACTTATTTTTGCCTTATAAATATTTTATTTTGTTCAGATAATGTAACTTTAATATTTGTCGTGATATTTTATATTTTGTTCAGATGACGTAACTTTAATATTTGTCGTGATATTTTATATTCATTCCGTTTATGCATAAATTCGTTAGATTTCCAAACTGGCATGTATATGTACTTTTACACACGGTACTCAGGTCCTTTTATTTCTTAACCTATAGTGGCTCCTCCCAGTATCCAAGAAGAAGTACTCCTCCCAGTATCCAAGAAGAAGTACTCCTCCCAGTATCCAAGAAGTACTCCTCCTAGTATCCAAGAAGAATACTCTATACCTTCAAATATTGTCTCCAACAAGAAGAGGCTAAGTACTATCTTTACTGTCTCAAAGAAGAAGTACTATCTCCAAGAAGAGTACTCTACCTCCAAGGACCGTCTCTAAGAAGAAGCTCTAAAACGTATTAAGAAGCTCCAAAGTCCTCCAGGAAGCTCCTAGCTAGTTGCCTCTAGCTATAAAAAGGAAAGTACCGTATTTACGTACCAAAATACCACCATCTATCAGTATCGTCAGTAAATTTTATCACTCATTCATTCAACTCTTTCACTATCTAATTTGTAAAATTAATCTTTCACTTTTTAATAAATGTATTAAATTTTCTCAGTTTCTTTTATTTGCCACAACTCTTACAGATAACTTTAAGTACCAGAGACAGACTCAATTAAACAGGACATTTAAAATCAGAAGTTTTCCAAGTTACTGAAAAACTTGGTGGCGCTCAACTTTTTTTGTCATTGCTTTACTTTAATATCTTTCATTTTATCTTAAAGTAGATCTTGGCCCGCGAACAGGTCAAGCTACTCTAATTTTATTTGTCCTGGTCAATTTTTGAATCCACACATGTCAACAATTTGAGCTAAATTGCTTATTAAATAATTAACAACATAGAAATCTAGAAAAAAGGTAACATGTTGTGAGGGATATCGCTGGTGTATAATAAGTAAAGAACCGGTCCTAGCACATTGCCTTGTGGGACACCTGCTTTAATTTCTTTAATTTCGGAGTATGCCTCGTCTTGCTTTACTCTAAACATTCTTCCCGTTAAATATGATTGTAGAATGTCGACATACTGTCTAGGGAGCATTTTTTCAAGTTTGTGTATTAGGCCAGCGTGGCAAAACTTGTCAAATGCTTGGGCTACGTCAAGAAATATAGCTGAGCCTATATATTTTTTTTTCGTAAGTTTTTTCGATGATATCGGCTATCCTGTGTACTTGATCTATTGTCGAGTGTTTGTTTCTAAAACCAAATTGGTAACAATGATATAGGTTTATATGATGACACTTCATTCAGAGGTTTTCCTGGCTTAGGAATTAGGAAAACTTCAGCCATTTTCCACGCATCAGGTATATATTTAAGGCGAAATGCTGCATTTATGAGGTATGTCAATTTAACAATAGCCTTCCGTGGTAGTTTCTTTAATATTTCTCCAGTAATAAGGTCATATCCTGGGACTTTCTGTGAGTTGATGTTTGTCTGAATTTCTTTCGTAACTTCATTGGGAGTAACCAGCTTAATTTCAAGTTGTTCCATATTATGGATGGTCTCATTAGGAGTGTCTTGATTTTCATCTAATTGGAACGTCTTTTATAGGTGGTCAGCGAAAATATCAGCTTTTTGTTCATTGTCTCTTGCCCATTTGTTATCTGCTATTCTGAATTTTTCATCTTTTTAGTTGCCTTCCAGAGTGAATAATTAGTTTCTTTATCATCTGTTAGCCCTACTAGGTATCTGTTGAAGGATTCTTCTTTGTAATTTAGAATTTCTCTTCTCAGTCTTTGGGTAGCCCTATTTATTACATTTTTATCTTCTGGTGATCTTGTCATCTGCCATTTCTTTCTAAGTTTTCTTTTTTCTGCTACTAGTTCTCTTATCTCGGCAGGATAGTTTTTTCCAGCTGTTAATCTTCTTACTTTTAGTGTGTTCCACCATGCAGCTTGCTGGATTTCAACTATAAACCTTTCCAGTTCTTCATCTAGCTGATTTTTCGTTTTTAGTGTTATGGTCAGTTGAATAATATTTGTTAAGTCCTCTTGAAAACCTTCCCAATTAGTTTTTCGATTTGCTAGGCTCGGTTTGGCTTCTCTTTGAATAACATTATCACTTAGAGTAAGGATTACTGCAGAATGGTGTGAATCCATATCAAAGTTTTCTTCTACTTGTGTATAGTTTGGTGAAATTTTCCTCAGAATAAAGAAATCCAAAAGGTCTGGAATCTTATTTGGGTCGGTGGGCCAATAGGTGGGTTTTTCAGAAGATTGTTATATACAACCAAGTTCTGATGCAGCTCGGTGCAATTCTTTTCCTTTGACTGTGGTTTATCTTGAACCCCAGTTTGTGTGTTTGGAGTTGTAATCTCCACCGATTATAAATTTGTTACCTAGTTTTTTGAGTACATTGAGATAATTTTCTTTTTTCTGGTTGTATCTTGGTGGGCAATAGATTGCAGCTATTGGATATCAGTTTGTTTTTGGAGAATACCATTGGCATTCCAAGTGGCTATTCTAATATCTCTTTTGTCCATTGGTAGTTTTGTTATATGTTTGGGGTTTATTTAATTCTTCTAGCTTCTGGATCCTATCAGAGAGTGAATCTATTCTGGTTATTAAGGATTGTAATAATTCATGAGTAGTACTTTCTGCTAAGCTGGTTGACTGTAAAGTATGCTGCGAAATTTGTGGCGTGGGATTCATGGCTGGTTGTGACCTTTGAGTTGGTTGCTCCTGTGAGTTTGTTAACTGAGAATATGTTATTTCATTTCTGACAGTAGGAAAAGCGTTCATAGATCTCTTCTGCCTCGTCATTATATTAGGTTTATAGGTGTTATCCTTCCTTATCTGAAAGGTCTTAGCTACCTCACATCCTCTGTAGTTAGCAGGATGTTCCATTAGGCAGTTTTTACGCAAACATTCGTATGATGTTTTCCTACACACTTTACGCATCTTGATTCTCTTTTGCAAAAGTTGTGCGTATGTCCAAATAGCTGGCAGTTTTTACATTGCGGAACTAGTTTTGAATATCTTATGGTTTCTATTCTAACTCTTAGATTAAGTATTGCTTTGATTTCGTAGATTTTCTTCAATAATGATTTTTAAAAATGTATCTTAAAGATTTTTTTGACTTTTCTAATCTTCTTCCTCTACACCATATATTACAATATTTTTTCTTTGTTCTTGTTTCAGTGTTTCTTTAAGCAATTTATTTTCCTCTTCGAGTGAATTTGTTTTTTCATTTAATTTTGTAATATCTATGACTATAGACCTTTTAAGAACTTTTAGCTCATTTTGAACTTCATCAATTTTTTTTTTCAAGATTGGAATTGATATATTTTAGTAATATGTAAATATCTTGAGTAGTAACTTCCTGAGAACTTAAAGCCATATCTAGATATTGATTGACCCTCGTATTTTAATTCTTTATTGGTTCATGTTCTGGATAAATTTTGATAAGGAATAATTTACTCACTCTTTGCATTAACAATCAAATTTCTATATGTTTATTACTTTAACTGCACTCTTTCTTTTAACTAATGGCAAGCTTGCAACTTTGCGCATATGCCAATAAAACTTTCACTATTAAACCACTAACATTTTAATTTAATTTAAAATGTAGTATTATAGGATGGATTTTTAAGGTTTACTGCTACCTTTGGTATTTCAAACTAAATTTTATGCGGGTTCTTCTGATACAAAATAAATTGTTTTTACTACTACTTTCCTAATATCATGTTTAGTTCATGAAATATAACCATGGTAAGTTTTTAAATTGTCACCCTAAACAAGATTTTAATTCACTTACCTGTACTTTACTACTGGCAATAACTGGTTTAAGCTCCTTTAATTTAGATCTTTCTTCTTTTTTAACTGTTGCTGAAGATTTTATTTCCAATTTCGATGACATAGTTTTCGGTGCGTTGGATTGAACTTGAACTACTGAAACAACTTTTTTTTCAACAGATTTTTGATCTTTCGATACTTGAGTTTTACTCGGATTGATTTTTGCTTCTATCTTTGTTACGATTGGTTTTGTTTCAATGACATTGTTTGATGTTATTTCATTTACAGGCTTAGTTTCTGTAAAAAATAAGAAATAAATTAAAATATCTAGGACTTCAAATAAAGTTATTCATTTCAAACTTACCTGGAATTACCAGTGCAGCAGCGCTTTGCGGAGAGAAAATCATGACAGTGTTGCCGATTGTCGTCGTGAAATCAAGGAAGCCATAGACAGTTTGGGTGACCTGAATTTCTTGGTTGTCAGACTGAGCTATCTGTGCTGCTTCTGCTGCTTTTTCTGGATTAATAAAGACGGGACCCTGCGATTGTACTTTCACTAAAACAAAAGAAAAATTAATTAGTTATGAAGTAAATGTTAAATATTTAAAATATTAGTAGTATAATGTTTCCAAAACTTTAATTTTATATTATTTTTTTTATTAGTAATAAACAATATTAAATTCTACAACTATTGTGAATTTCTCTTCTTGTATAATTGTCTTTAAAACGTACAGTAGGAGTTTCTAAGGAGTTCTATTTCCTTTAAAAGAAATGTATCTATAATTACAGTTCTTCTTTGTTAAGGCATGAAGTCCACAAAAGGTAAAGTTGTTACAAAGTTCCTAGAAAGTCCTAAAACTTGAGACTATCATATTTCATAAAGTTCATGGTAGCGCCAACCACTCTGAATTTCGTGTAACGATTACTTAAATTTAAGTTTTCTGTAACATTCAGAAGCCATTAAAACATGCTGCGAAGTAAAAACGGAGAACGCTGGTTTTTTAAATAAAATATTTTGATTTGTTTATTACATATCCCAACTAGCAAAGTAGCTTTATAATTTTTAATTTACAAGATTATTATATTTTATTAACATTATATTGTTGTTTTAATAAAATTGCAAAAAATCACTATTTTGTTCTCTGAAATTAAATTGTCATGTACATTCATTTTTATAATGTTTTTACAGCAAAATTATAAAATAATTTTCACAATAACTATAAAATTTTTACAAAAACTTTTATACAACATTTCAATTATAATGCTTTTATAGTGATTCTATATTGTTACTTTGAATTGCTTTTACAATTTTTTGGTTAAATACATATAACTGTTTCTTAAGCCCATAATAATTATTATGTGCAATAATTCCGCAACAATAGCAATTTGCTTTCGATAAAAACTCCAAAATAACTGTAATGTAGTGTAGAAAACTTTCTATAAAAGTAATAAATCAGAAATCCCTTGTAATATTAAGGTAGATGATGATTTTTCACTAAAAGCTGAGTTAATGGGGGATATTGATATACAATTTGAAGTTGAAGGAAAACTTATTAAAACAGAAATTAAAAATGTTCATTATGTCACTAGCATGAAATAAAATTTTAATTATAAGTCAGAGTAATTCTATATTGTTTAAAAATAAAAGAGCTAATATTTATAAATGCCTAAATATTAATTTATTATCTTGTGTTTCTACTCAAGAAATGTCAAATAAAGAGAGATGGCATCGTATGAAGTATGTATTCAAAATAAAATGTCAAATCTAAAATTTCAAAGTAATAGGTGCAGGACAAATGATAGTCCACACAAGGTCCACACAGATGTTCATGGACCAATAATTCAATTAGGATACACAGGTGAATAATATTTTTTCTACATCCACATGGATATTAGCTTATCTACGCACAGATACAAAACGAAAAGTATGCTAGTGCCTTTAACTGAACGAATATATTTCATATCCATTCTAGGTAGTGAGAACACTGCAAAAAAATAAAATCAACCAATCACCGTTCATATTTTGATCAACCGCTGCTATTATTTTTAAAATTTTAAATAAGTGACAATTCTGTCAAATTAAGTGTTTTTTTAGTTATTGAGATTAAACATACATTAAAATAGAGAAATTGTGTAGAATCGATAAATAATAGCATTTCTGTTTTTTATTTCGTCTTTAATTATAAATAATTTGTTAATTTAAATAAAACTTCATGAAGTCAACTTAATTACGATTATTAAAGCATAAAAAATAAAAGAATAGGTGGACCTGTGGTTAGCGTCCTTGCCTTCCAAACGGAAGACTGGAGTTCGATTCTCAGATGGGGAAAAATGAAATGAACTCTTTTTTTTTTCGTTTATTTTATTTTAAAAATTATTAAAAGTCATAAATTATTTTAAAATTACTTATTTTGTCCTAATAACCTAAAATATTGTTTTTACTTGTAAATTTTCGTTGGTGGGCCGTAGAAAAAATGTACTGAACAACTCGATTGGATTGTCTACATCGCACTCAGACGATCGAGAACTCCGCCTACGGCGTCGTGCTCAGATTTCGACTTCGTGTGATATGGCTATCATATCCACTCCTGTTGCACAAACTACTGGAGGAGAAGGTACAAATATGGGCTACCATTTGGTTTAATTGACATATCTGACACATTTTTAGTGTAATTTGCGTTTTTTCTTTTTACAAGTGAGCTAAAACCTTTTATTAATATTATGCGGTCCGTTTTTGTTCTTTTTGCGGAAGCTTTTCTAAAATGTTATTTTGTTCAAATAAGAGTGACATAATAGCAGTCATGTTTAAAGTGATACAAATATGGGCTACTACAGAAAATACCTACAAATATTAACTTAAACGTTTTATTCAAAGGCTAAATTGAAAAAAAAAATACAGGAGTCATTACAAAAGTAACACAGTACTAATCAGTGCGACAAAAGTCACAAACATAGTCATCTCTGTCAGCGCCGGCACAGTCCACATGGCACCATAAACTGCACATTAAACACTAAACCCAGAGTTCACCTTTGCGGTCTTCAGGAAATATGCTTTCGCCGAATATGCATTCCGCATCTAAATCATCTGGTTTCTCTTGTCCAGGCATATCATCTATATCTAAATCGTCATCCGCTAGCGTAAACTGTGTTTCGTCGTCTTCACCTTCAGACTCTTCTATCGACTGCTGCTTTTTATTCTTCTTTGATGCTTTGAACATCGAGATCTTTTCGGCTGATTGAGAAAATACTTTTTTTTAACCTGTTTAACATTTTGCTTATTTTTATTGATAGTGCTCAACAATAATTAATTTTTAAAAGGGGAGGAAGTAATTACCGCTGCTTGCGATGCTTTCCTACCCCTATTAGTTGTTTTCTTTTTGGATATCGCAACTGGCGAAATATCAAAGGGTGACATTTTTCTTGGCACTCCAGATGGTCCAGGTTGAGCATTGTTCTAATTGGGTATCTCTATATTCGATTGAGATGTGCTTGGTGTGGTCATTCTTTCAGAAGCCGAATCGGACAAAACATTTGTGGTGACACTCAATTCACTTTCAGCGGTGCAGTGTTCTTTTTATCCTTCTATTTCTGCAGCAAGAAAGTCCGCTTTTGAAAAATTATTTTTATTCAACGGAAAATTTCCAGTAGCGCGAAATCCATTTACTGCAATTTCTCCAGTCTGGGTTTTGAGATAGGCCTTTTCAAAAAGTTTGCCAATATTGAGATAAGGGACGATGATTTTGGCGAATCCATTGTCTAATCTCCTCAGTGTAGTAAGCCTTTAACGCACCCATGAAAGTTTTGTCAAGAGGGTGTAGTTTATGGGTGGAATGAGGGGGTAATGAGATTATTACCACGTGATTTTCTTTAGCCGTATTGACAACTTCTAGGTTACGCGTATGACTATAATGCCCATCCAAAATTAGAAGAACAATCGAAGTTGCAGACGGTTTTACAGTGTCAATGAAATGTCTGAACCACTGAGCGAATGACGTAGCCTGAACCCATCCACTAGGGTGAACTGCTAATATTGATCCTGGAGGGATGCCTTTCATTAGTTGAATATTCATATATTTTCTAGGAAATATGAGCATCGGTGGTACAAAGTCTCCCCCGGCACTCAATCAGGCTATCAAAGTGATTAAAGAACCCCACTCCATTGAAGTTGAAGAGGCAATTTGTCTTTTTCCCTTACGACCGACTACTTCTGCGACCTTATTTTGCACGACAGCCAGACCGATCTCATCCACATTATACATGCGATTAGCTGGGAATTTTTATTTTTCATACACTTCCTGCAAAAGCGTAAAAAAGTTGTCAATACTTTCTTTGTTAAACCCTTTGGCGCGAGCGAAAGATGTCCCAGTGGGTTTTCTGACAAGGTATTTTTATGCCTTTGCAAAAATAGATCTAACCAGTCCCTTCCTGCTGCTTGTGTGTTTCCAAAAGGATGCTTTATTCCGTTTCTTTCTGCCAAGCAAAATGCCATACGTTTAATATCTTTGCGGGTTAAGCCATAAAACTTGGCTTCCATTTCAAGGATGTAGCGAACTAATGTTTCTTCCAATTCTAGATTTAAAACTGTACCTCGACTAAGTTTAATTTAAACAATCTGTTCTACGCTAAGATGGTCCATTTTGGCTAATCGCTGTACTGTAGACCTTGGAACGCCAAAAATTTTTGCTGCTTTTAGAGTACCCTTTCTTTTTTCTCTTACTGCTTGAATAGCCCTTTTCATATTCTCTGTATCCCACGTCTTTCTTTTCTTGGCGCTTAAATCGGAAGTTACTATAAGTTTCTTGCGTGGCATTCTAAAACAAAACACACAATGAAATAGAGATTGATACATATATGGGCTAGCCCATATTGCTAACGCAAGACCAGTCCATATTGCAAATAAGCGTAATTAAATTGATCATTTTACAAATATTTTATATATTTAACCTATGTAAATTGAAAAACAAAAACTAAAAATACAAACCAAGTTTGATCGTGAAAAATCGACTTTGACATCAAAAACAATTGAGTTACAGCCACAAATAAGTACCACTGCAAAATTTATAAACACTGTAAAATACCAATTCACACTAAGCAAAACCACCTCTGCAAAAAGAAGAAACCAGTAATCACTAAGCGGTTACAAATGCTAACGCGCATATAATTGTGATGTCAACGAATAGATGGCTATCGTTGTACTGGAAATATTACCTTAGCCCATAATCCAAGTCTAGCCCATAATTATACCCTTTCCTCTATTGTGTCTTTTATAGATGATTTCAGTGAAATTACTATTGTTTATTGTATAAAACAAAAACGTAGTTTTTGAGAGTTTTATCTGACTTCAAAAAAAGAGGAGGTTCTCAATTCGTCGGAATATTTTTTTATGTATGTTCAGCGATAATTCTTTACTACAATGTGTGATTATTACGACTCTTTTTTTATTAGAAAGGGGATACCGGATACATCAAGGTTAGTTCCTTATACAATTGGTTAGGATCTGATGATCTATGAGAAAGTCAAAAATCTCAATTTTCAAGATCATCCGCACGATTTTGA